TGTTTCGCTACAGTTATGACATACAAGGCATTGATCCTTCCAATGCCTGAGGTTGCAGAGTGGACAAGGCGGGCGTCCCGGTGAACGACTTCTTGATGAGCGATCTCGTTGCTTGCGTTGGGGTGTGGGTTCTCTAGGCTGTAAGTTACCGCAATTAGCAGAGTGAGTCCGTGAGTAACACCCTTTGGGGTTGTGAAAACTACCCGTGTTTGGGGTAGGTGGTACTCAAGTGTTAGTGGGTTGCGAATAGGGGTTGTGAACCCCGTTACCGTGGGCATTTAAGCCGCGGTGGTTCTTTCAAAACTCCGCAAGGTACTTTCCAGCTAAGGCGGTGGTAGATGCGAGACCGTTTGTGATTCGACACTATCTCACAATGGTCGAGACCTATATAAGTATTATTAATAAAAGGTCGTACGGCTACTGTTAAATCCGCGAGGCTCTTTATATCATGGGGCCATACATTGATCAGTGGCTCTTTAACAGCCGGGTCCTTAGGACACTGACTTACATCATTTCCATCAGCGCGCTCTGGTTGTGCGCGTTCATCTGTATATCGGAGTAGTTTGCACGGAACCATGCGTACCGATGGCCGTGCTGGTACTTGAGCTACTGGGTGCTAATACCCACTTGACACCCTCCCGTGTGAAAGGTCCACCAAGGGGGCGCTCGACAGCCGCTACCTTGGAGTCAACGGGCGATGAACGGGTGGTATCATCCGGTGCAAATTCATAATAGTTGACATCCCTCATCAAGGTCATCCACAAATTCGTACGGTCTCTTGCTGGTGTAAAATCAACGGGTTCCTATAGTAGAAGCACATGTTAACGTGTAATATAAACGTATTAACATTTAAACGCTATTACGGCTATAAAACCTGGTATACGTTGAAACGCAATTGTAGATAATTGTATCTGTATAATAGTCAAATAATCTAATTATAGGTATATTGAATTCACAGAAAACAAACAAACAAATAATCTAATTTGTATATTCGGAATTACAATTGTATACGACAGAGGCCGGAGACCCTGTTGATATTGATATGATGGTTTTTCTACTATGATATGTTCTCCATCAGAATATTGGGATACAACACTGGGTGAGTCTCAGGTGATATTGACACTTGATGACATATGTTGTATTACCAAACACTCTCAGCGCGAGATAGCCTACTGAGAAATGGAGCATGAAAATGATACCCCCTAGCCGGCCAATCAATGGGATGGAGAGCTAGGTACCATGGGATGGGGTATAGTTACAGACATTTAACTGTACCATCATGGTGTTTTTAATTTCTTTTATTTTTCTTAAGTTGGACTTAGAGTTATTTTATTGGGAATTGCGATTGGAAGGTTGTTTCGAGGCATGAAATGATATAGAATGAAATATCATGCATCCAATGAAATGAAATCTGATCTTAGTTACTGACACCGAATAAATCTAGACCGAAGTATTGAGTGATTAGAGCAGAAATACATCCCCTAATCTTTTAGCTCACTACCAAGGGCTGTAAACTTCGATGGATATTTCTATGTCTTAAACTATGTTATATAAACTAAGATACAATTTAAGTCAGTTAGAATTTAGCAGTGGTAGCTTGTGTAAGAATGATCGGGGCTGCCTCTTGGTAAGAGCCTGAATATCTTCGATCACACAGGGCGTACCTCTAGCTGTTCTTTATTGGATAATTTTCACTAGAAGTACTAAGTGTTCATGGCCACATGTCTAATTTGTAGATAGACATAAGAACGTATGTCAAGTTAATACATTAGCTAATATAAAAAAAATTCCATCAGAAGAAAAGTTAAAAAAAGAAAAAGACTATTGAATTTTGGAGATTGGCGGGAAGACCAAAACCAGTAAGTAGTAGTTCAGAGATTATAAAATTTAGTTTATAGTATCCTACATCTACTATCGTCTCAAATAGGCCCAAGTAAATGAGTCATACCAAATACTCAGACTATTGGAGCCATCATAGTGAATTTAGAACACTTTGGAAATATTGGAAAAAGAATTTGTATCAAATTATTTTAAATGCAAATAAAAACCAATGTGTTATCTCATTTGATCTTGATATTTTAGACTGACCGGAGGCCGTATTTCTACATAGCCCCCAGTAGCTTTTAGGACTACGGACGTACGTGAAGGTACGATCTAGTTCGTAAAGCGAAACCCAAAGTAAACCGATTTCGGTCATGGCTTATCGAGTAAGTATGTGCTTATATGTACGAGTTCAAGACTCATGTTGTACTCTATGTCGTTTACTATTTGGTCCAGTAACCATTTCCGATGTAAGCGCCTTACGTTTACTACTTGGTAAGGTAATAGCCAAAGATTGTTCTTCATTAGTAAGTATGCTCGAAGAATTTGCTGCTCTGTTGGTAAGCAGATCAGAAGGTTTAGTCACATAGGAAGTAGGTGGCAAATAAGGAATTTCAGATCCATTCGGGTTTGTAGTCACCTTAGGAAACCCTTTCCCTTTATCTCGTGTGTTCTTATGTAAACGCTTATTCCATTTCTTATTAAAAATACGAAGGAAGTCGCGAGATTCACGAAACGCATCGGAGGCTAGCCGAGCTACTGTCCTATCCATAAAACGGGTCTTGTAGTAAGTGTAATCGTCTTCGGATGGGTTGTCAATTATATCTTTGGTTTAGTCACATAGGAAGTAGGTGGCAAATAGGGAATTTCAGATCCATTCGGGTTTGTAGTCACCTTAGGAAACCCTTTCCCTTTATCTCGTGTGTTCTTATGTAAACGCTTATTCCATTTCTTATTTAAAATACGAAGGAAGTCGTGAGATTCACGAAACGCATCGAAGGCTAGCCAGGCTACTGTCCCATCCATAAAACGGGTCTTGTAGTAAGTGTAACCGTCTTCGGATGGTTTGTCAATTATATCTTTGGCTTGTGACTCCATAACTGGGACATCAGAATCAAATGAGCGAGCCAATGAGAGTTCGGAGGTAGGGATACGGTGAGTGCCTAGATTGATTGCGCTAGTACCATCTATGATATTCACTTCGTAAGTATCACTCTTCTCATCATGGTAGGAAATAACAAAAGGTCCAATTGTCTTAGAAGAGAGTTCGGTAACGTTGGCACTGTGATTTATAATATTAACATAATCGCCAACTTTGAACTGAACAATGTTCTTAGTGATATTCCATCGGTCATACGCTTTAAGTAGGACACGATTTTTGTGCTCGAGTAAATAGGGGTAAACAACGTTCTGCATATGCTCGATATTTTGTAGCCACGGAGTAACGTGTTTCTCGGGCGCAGTTTACTCCATCGGTCATACGCTTTAAGTAGGACATGATTTTTGTGCTCGAGTAAACAGGGGTAAA